GAGGGTGCACACGTGAGAACCATGCTGGTTTTAGACCTGGTCGATGCCGTGTCGACCACATCTTCACTCGTCTTAACTCATCTTAACTCTGGAGCACCGACATTCTTTTCGTAGATCCACCATCTTTGTCTTCCTCGATCTAAAAGCGGCTTACGACTCAGTCGACCGCTCTAAACTCTAACGCTGCCTTTCTCTGAAAGATGTGCCCGAGAAGTTTATTTCAATGGTACAATCGCTTTATGCTAATAACCGCAGCCGAGTCCAAATTTATGGCACTTTCGCCCGAATTCACGACCGAAAAAGGTGTTCGACAGGTTAGCCATTTCTCTCCGTTTATGTCCTAGATTTATTTATTGAAACAGCCCTATCCTAAAACCGATTGACTCCCAGATGGTAGACTGATCTAGAGTATACAGACGACATTGTGCTACTTAGTGAACATCCAGGTAAGTTGCAAGCTTTTCTGGATAGTGTAGCCATGTTATGTATGCTTTTTGCACCTTCATAGTGTAAAATGTTACTAGAACTTGGGTTGGCCCGACCTCCAACCTCACTCTAACTGGGGAAGTAGTACTGGAAGTAGACAATTTAATTATTCGGTCAGTTGTATCTCACCTAGCGGACGCATCGCAGTTTAAGTGTCAGCACGCATACAAAGGCTCGGTTGGCATTTGCCAACTTGCGATATCGGTGGTGTCGTGGCGACATCCGGCTGTCTGTGAAGAGTCCAGTATATGCTGCAATAGTTCAGCCAGTGCCGCTGAACGGTACAGAGACTGGGCCATTATGGGAATAGGATGGAAATAGATTATCGGTGTTCGAACATCACCGTTTACGTCGCACTGTGCGAATGTGGAGGGACAACCGGACGAGCAATGCTGAGGTTAGGCGCGAAGTTTCTGATAATCTCGGTCGTCCACGGGAGCAAGTTGTCGACCTCCATAGATTTGGTTGTTTGGGACAAGTGTTGCGCATGTCACCAAATAAGATGCTACAGCAAGCGATGTTTGCCGAGGCAGTTCGCGGTTGGAAAAAGGTCAAGGGCGGTCGAACTAAGACCCGACAAGAGGGTATGAAATCCCTAACCAGGAGACTCGGCAACATACTTTTCGTTGGGCTCCCTGGCTGGGACCCGATATCATGGTCACCGAAGGTTGGAGACTGAGCGATATGGCTGGGTGTCGCAAACAGTGGCGCTCATACATCCACTCATTCTCTCAACACCAGTCTATATGAATTCTCTATCTTCCGCTAGAATTTACTTAACATTCCAGTCGTTATCCTTCTCTTTTATCCAAATGGGCAGCCAAAAGACAACCAAAACCGGTGCTCGAAAGTGTATGGGTACTGGTTGTAAAAACGGAACTGAACTGAATTACCACCTTTTCCGTATCCCACAGTTCCTATTTCGAACGCTCGCACTTAAAGACTTCAGTATTTTGTGGCTTCTCATTTTAGTGAATTTAGTGAACTTATGACCTCTGAAATATCAGCAGTACTATTATTGTTGTCGTTTTTCTGTCTGCTCCTAGTTTGATATATTTTGAGTGTGTAGCCCGCCAAGGCGCACCAAGTGATCGTGTTTTGTATTGTGCTTATACTACGGATCTTTCTATAGCCATCAGTTCCCTTTTGAAATTTGATGACAATCACCAAAATTCAAATTAGGTCCAACGATTGACTGTTTCATCCGATATGATAATCATGTGGTGCTTGAAATGCATCCATTCTCAGCTTTATTTGACCTTATTCGCTATTCTATCGATCCACTATTTCTGACTTTTCCTACACATGTCCGTTGTTGTTTTTGCCTTTGTAGTTGTAAAATCGATTTGGTTGGTGAATAAAATTGAGGTTGCATACGGTCGGTTTCGCTCCACCTTCAGCAAAATGTCTACGTCACACCCCATTCCAACTTTCATCACTGGGTCTTTCGGGAGCTGCTGTGCTTACTTCAATCTCAATAGCTTATAACAATGCTGATTATCGTATTCTGTTTGCAAAGAGTTTGTCTCTTGATTGATGTGGAGTTGTATCCCGTAGGAAATTCATGGACCACAAAGCTATGCAGCTATACTCATGTGTTCATCCTACCCTCATCAGAGAAGCTTTATTTTTTGTTTTCTGGGTATCTTGCTTTTACATCCATCATTGAGAGATCCGATCTCGATTTGCATCCCAAACATCCACTCAGACTTCATGCACACATTCATAAGAAAATAATTCTGTTTAATTTTACTTTGTGGTTTGAGTCTTGTGAGGATAAATACTTTACTCACAGATCATGCTTTTGGGGAAACTATTCTAGCGCATACGTTTACAAAACCTCTGAAAACGTTTGAACCATTTGGTATCTATATTGCAGTTTCTAAAATCAATCAACCAGTCTTAGCCAATTTCGTTGTAGCCTTGTTTAATGTCACGTGCATTCCATGGGGTCTGCTTCTGGTCCGCTACTTTGAATACCAAGGCTTAGGTTACCGGTTTCCTGGACTAGGTGCCATTGAAATTCACCTCCGCTGCTCACTGTATTGAAGCTTGTAAGTCATTCCGTCTACTATAATTACGTATACATTTCAAATAATGCTACTCTGTTGATCAGCATCGCAATAGATTAGGTGAAGTCGATGATAATCCTATCGGTTCTTTAATATTAGAATACATTCATGGGTTTGTTAATCCAAAAAAATAGCCCGAGTTCAGATTTTTGATGTACGTTACTGCAAAGTAGCTTCGGTTAAGCAAGGGCTACGAACGGCACAGGGATGAAAAAGCTGTTATCGTAGATGCCACTTTGTACCGTATCCCTAATATTATCCATGTATTCTTCCATAAAACATACTCACGTAGTAGGATGCCTTCTTAAAGTAAAGTCGACAGTTTATCGTTGTTGTTTTTGGGAATCACTGTTCTTTCTACTGGGTTCTTCGTGTATATCATCAAATCATTTCTATTTTTGCAGTATAGAATATGACAAAATTCTTGGGAATTTGAGTGCCCTATTCCATCTGGTCATGTATTGTTCGCTATGACAGTCATAAGCTATTTCTGAATGATTATAATCTCAATTTTAGCTGGCTTGCATCTTGAGCATGTAAATTGATCACCTTTCCCCATAATTTTTTCAGTCGGTGTGATGCCCGGTATGGCCACTGCTCCACCTTACGCTTACAATTATTCCAATACCCAATACGTTCCACCCGCCCCGGCTCCAGTAATGCCTGCTGGAGCATATTCTCCAAGCGTCGGTCCCAGTGGTGCTTATCCACGCCAGCCTGGACAGGTTGCCTACAGTGGCCCACCTCAAACTGGGCAACAGTTCGTTACGCAATCGGGAAAGCCGTATGAAGTTGTGTATGTGCAAGGAAAACCAAAGAAGAAAAAACTAAGTGGTCTGAAAAATGCTGCAGTCGGTAAGCTCTTGAATTTTATTTGCGATTTTGCTAATACGTGTTTTCCAACGGTGGAGTGAAGTGGAAGTCGGGGATCGTGAAGTCCTAAATGTTGACAGAATATACAGTATTTGTTTCAGAATATGTATCGTAGGCCTTTTCACAGAAGAGAAAGTTGTGGTGTATTTTTAATCAGCTTGTTTTTTGTATATCTTCTAAAAAAACTCGCACCTATTTTTTCACGAAGGGGTGTCGCGATTCCGGTTCCAAATATGAGAGCAATAATCTGATTTTGATGGTTTTAAGCTGCCAGCATCCTCTCTATGATGAAGATTGACTTCCATTCGGGAGAAGCATGTCAAAGAGGCCCAAACTGGGCGTCTTGGAATCCACGCTTGCACTCAATCGTTGAAACTATGCCACGCATCAGGAAAACTGAAAGCTGGTGGGTTCATGGACATCAAACCGTCCTTCGGGTTCATCGATTGGCTCCCAGTGTGAGCCTGTTGGCTGAGATACAAAATTCACAAAAAGCATGTTCTGTTCCGGAAAGGTTCCGGAAGGTTAAGGTTTATGGTGACATTGCATCTTCTTTTCCTGTCACACAGCAAGGCTTCATGTATTCTTCACCTTCAAACCCATCTTGTTTGTGAAAGATAAAGTGCCCGTTTCATTTTATGTGCTCATTTATGTACTCCTTTGTAACGAGGTATATAGGCTACACGGGTTCGTGAATACTGCCTCGTAATGGCAAAACACTGAAACGAATAAGTCACTAAGCAGTGCAGCGGTTTCACAACTAGTTGAAACAAATAATACTGTGAGCGTGACCGGTGCCTTCACCTCTGTCTATGATTTATGGTCATCTACCAATGCGGGTTTGCCGTCGGATGCCAACCGCTTCAGAAGTGGTAGGAATTCACTTCCACAACCGTCATTTGTGCAACCATATCAATTTGTGCTGGTGCTTAAGCTCTCCGGCACACATCCTTAGTAGTTTCGACGATCGGACGAATGAACCAACGTGTGTTCATTGTGCACCTCGTCCGGTATCAGGATGGTATCCATCTCGGTAATTTGTGATGCGAATCTTTCGTTCGCCAAACAACTTTTCTAATTAGTGATGTATATTTTGTGACGTATTGGCATAATTGGGATTCAGTGGAAACGAGCTCTGTCGAACCTTGAGATATTTAATTTCACTCTAGAGAGATCACTTGGATCATGGACGGCCATGAAGTAATCAGGATAAAATGATAATAGTTTAAATTGAAACATTTCCATTGTGGTATTGATTGGGCGATTTGAGTCGCTGTCACCAGGTTTGCCCCGGAACCCATGGTCTGAGGTTCTAATCCCGCTGTTGTCACTTTGTGTTGATAAGAATAGTTGTATTATCGTGATGCTCGATACCATACATCTCCCAGTGAAGCCGGGTGTGTTTAGTCACTTAGTTTTCGGTTACGGTAAGTGAACGACGGATCCTCCCCACCATAGGGGATCCTCTTGTTTGTCACACAATGTTATATGATGAAGTAAATTGACGGAGTAATTCTCCAGACTCCCGTTGCTAAAGCGGAAATAAACCAACATCAGTTTCTTTCTGTTGGTTATCAGCGTGGCACAATGATTTTACTTAGCTACGGGTTTACGTTGAACCATGAGTTTATTCTGTCATTGAATTATTTTGAAAATTCATGATTTTCTTCCCAAAATGTGCTAATTAAGGTAGATCATCACCTTGTCTTTCATAACCACTCTCGTTTCTTTACCTTATTCACAGGACTGGCATCTGGTATGGCCGGAGGTTATTTGATGAGCCGGATGTTCGGTGGTTTCGGTGGTGGCTGGGGTCGACCATGTCACTTTGGTGGCATGAGTCGTTGGGGTAGTTGGAGTTCGCTATCGAGTTTGAGTTGGTCTGACTGAGTCTGTTTGGCACACGCGGGTGTCATTGCAACCATACACGAACAGCTCCTATCACTTGTGCTCTTCTTCCTCCACCCCAGCCGCCTGTAACTTAATTCACTATCGGGTGCGTCGTTCTTGCTTTGTCATACCCAATCTGAGGTGAGTATTGCTGTTGTGCTCAGTCCAATAGTCTATACGCCATTGTGCACTCCGATATTTATTTGTCTTTGACGATTGTTCTACGTTTCCTGTAGTGATTTGCCTAATATAAACCACAGTTTGTGGTGCTACCAAACTCATTGCATACAAGGTAAAGGAGAATGTGTAAGGAGAACAGGGATTGGATTCGAACAGGCAAACGATGTCGTCAGCGTACTCTAGATCGCACAGCTTTTCCCCAGCTCCCATTTCATACCAACATTTTGGAGACCATTTGATGCGTTCTCCAGTATTTCGTCTGTGACGAAGTTAAACAAGAATGGCGAAAGAGGGCACCCTTGACGAACACCGCTGCTAGTTACAAACGACCTACTCAGCTCGCTGTAGACCATTACGCTACCAAAAGTATGTGAGTAGAGTGAACTCAATACAGCCACGGCCTGGTCGAAATCCTGCTTGTTGTTCGCGGATATTTATCTTCCTAAACGGTGTCAGACGTCGAAGTAACTTAGTAACGATTGGGATCAAACTTATTCCACGGTGGTGGTCGTTGCGAGATCCATTTCTTAAAAATTGGAACAACCAGTCATTCGCTCCAGGATGATGGAGCACACTCATGTTACCGTATGTTACGCAATAGATCAGTTATGGAGTCTACTAGGTCATCGCGCTCGTATCAGGAAGAAATTGGGAGGAAGCTTATCCGGTCCTGCTGCTTTTCCTTTCTTCGGGGCTTGGGTGCCAGATGGAACTTCCACTACAGTATGAGGTTCACATGACACCTGCTATGGAGCTTCAACAACAGATGCTTTAGTCTTGTTAGCACCTGGTCAGCTGAACTGTTAGTTGAATTACTCCGCCCATCGGTCAAGCCGTTGTTCCCTACTGTTATGCACCGATGATGATCTGTGCAGAACTGAAGAACTCGATCGTCATTTTTTATTACACACTTTCGTGTGATGAACAGCTACGGGAAAGCCCGCATAGTCGCCAGGACCTGCTGTTCAGTGATGGAAACCGGAAACCTGATCCCCGGGACTTGGAGCGACGAACCACACAAGACCCCGATATGCTAGGTGTGGTATTGGATCGGACGACAGCAAAGCTGCCTACCACCAAAAATGAGTGGTGGGGATCGAACCTCGGACCATAGGGTCCGAAGCACGCCTGTGACAGCGACTAAACTACTGCGCCACCATCATCTATTCGCTGGCAGGGCAACGCACAATGANTCCGATGCGCTCAGTTTTCCAACTTGAGAGTTAAAATCACCTGCGAGAACAACTACATCGGATCTTTGGCTTAACCGAATGAGTTCGGTGAGTCTGTCATAAAAATCGTCCTATTGTGCGTCAGAACTGCAGTTGGTCGGTGTATACGCTGAAATGATGAATAAACACCTGGTGTTGCTTACCTTCCGGACGCTGATGGACCCTTGGAGCCGCATCCCACATAAGCGACTGTTGACGCGAATCCAATCGACTAGTGCGGTTTCGGTTGTATTACTGAGTACACTGCCCACGCCATGCTGGCCAACTGAACGGGCTTCGTCATCACCTGACATGCGGAGGAAGAACCTCGAAGATAACCCCAGTTCACTTAAGTGGTAAAATCTCTCTTTGTTTCTTCTCATTTTCTTTTACTCTATCCAAGCTTTCGTTGCGCCGTTCGCACCGAGACGTTCAACTGAAGCAGCATTTTCATCTCTGATGCGTGACTCACGGAGTTTGTCGGCGTGGGTATCAAAACTTCTGTCATGGGTTCATATACATGTTTGTTTTACGTGCTTGACTGCGTAGATTATGCTAACTGTTGACGTTTCACGACGTTCGTATTCTTTTTGAATATCATTTCTGATTGATGGTTCATGCGTATACCATACGTACGGCTTTCTTACCGTAGAGTTATACCCAGTATTTCCTGATATTCACATTGTATATCCTTCTCAAAAGTTGTTTTTCCTGAAGAACCAACTCCACCCAAACCGTGAGTCGTTTATCTGTTTATTTTTAAACCACACTTTTTCAGCATATTTTATTATGGCTGAGAACATTCATTCACCTTTTACACGCGATTTGTCGTGCATTCTTTTAGACGTCCAAACAGGTCGATTCTGGTGATTCGTGAAACCGACGCATGAAAAAAAACTATCATCGACGGAATGATTCCCGTCTGCCTGCATAAAAGCAAGCAAGGCTATGAATTTGATCGATTTAGGTTTTTAACCCAAAACTATTATGAATAATAGTAAAATCTAGTACGAATGTATCGGAGAACTTTGGGTGAGAATGTAGCGATAATCTGTTCAAAACTTAATGAAAATCATGTATCGATTCTTTATTCAGTCGCTAAGCGACGTGCGCATCTCGACACTGATCCCAGATAACGATAATCGTAAACCAGGGTTGTACTCTGCATAAGTCGAGGATGATTATGAATCCCGTCCTTTGAATCTATCTGTCCTGAAGATGCAGAACGTTGTAAACCAGATAGGGTAATAACTGCTGCATCCATATATATATATATATATATATATATATATATATATA